ACGCACTGGGGTGTTCCTGCTCACACACTGGGGTGTGGTGATACCTGAACCACACTGGAGCTCTGGGGACTAGGGTGAGCTCAACAGGTCCTGTAGTCTCTGTGGTGCAGTGGTTAGCATTGATACTTCACAGCAATTCCAGAGCTGGTGTGCTAGGTGCATGGACATAGAATGTTCTCCCCACGTTCAAGTGGGTTTCCTCTCATTAATCTGGTTCCTCCCACAGTCCTGGTTCTGGTAGGTTAATTGTCCACATTCTTCTTGGAAGATAGGCCTTGGTGTGTTTGCCTGTGTTTGTGTCTGTGTGTACCCTGCGATTGACTGGCGTTCCATCCAGGGTGTATCCTGCCTTGCGCCTGTTGCTTGCCGGGATCGGGTCCTGTTCCCCTATGACCTTAAATTGGATGCAGGACATACAAAATGGATGGATGGATATTTAGTAAACGAAAAGCCCTGTGTGACCTATAAAACCTGTGAAGAACAATATGGAGCTTCTCCTGGCCTCGTTGGCACTGTGTCTGTCAATAACAACTCATGTATTGCAGTTAACAGGTGCTTTGCTTTATTTTCCTAATAACTGTAGATTATGGGTTTTTCATCTTGTTGAATCTTGCTGAATCCAGTAGAAGCCTTAGATTGACTACAAAGACCCTGGGGGGTCTCGTTTTTACTCCGCAGGTTGTTGGATTTCTCTGTTCTATCCTGATTTTCAGTCTAGTAAGCACTCTTGACCTTCAAGTAATTCAAGATTTTTGGTTGCAGTGCTGTTATAGTTTTTTAAAGCCTTCCATACAGCTGTTGTTGTTTTTTAATACAATATGTCTTAGAAAAAAATAGAAGCCACCTTTTTCATGTTATGTCTAATTGCTGCTTGTTTTTTTATCCAAAATACCCTGTCCTCTGCAACAGACTAGCATCCCTTCCAGGGTACCTTGATTGCTTGCCAGGATAGACTTTGGCTCCCCCTTGATTCTGTACTGGATAAAAGCAGCTAGAAAATCAGTGGATTGATGGAATATCCCATTATGGTTCATGTTACATTTTTACTTGTTATTTTTCCGTGGGTGTAAGAAGAGGAGAGGCCGGGAGCTACTGTAATCAACTAGTGGAGTTTTGTTCTTGGCCACCAGGGGGCAGTAAGGGCTTTTGAGCAATGGTGAAGCGTCACATTTCATCCGTGACTGACCAGATCTATCCACATTAATTAAATTCCCTCAGGGTTTGTAATAGTTTAAGAATAATTGTAGAATTTCAAAGCAAAATCTCTGAATTCAACAAGTGTGTTTCCCACAAACGGTTGAAATGGCAGTAGTTTGTTCTCCATGACTTTTGAGTCAAGTTCTTCTCTGGATGGTAATGTTTAATGCTTCTTTAAAGACTCATTCTAGTTCAGAACTGATCTGGATGCTTTGAAAGAACCACTTAATACACCTCTATGGACAGATGATGAGCACTGATGACTAATTATTGCCAGTGGCTTTTCTAATGTTCTTATGAAACTATATTGAAACATATCCGTTTTCTGCTCCTTTTCTACACAAGTAAACCATAACATTTAACATCTGTCTCCCACAGTAAATGAAACTACATTTTAATTGTGTTTGAGAGACAGATGCATCCTACTGTTGAAATTGAAAAGGAAGTGTTTGACAGAGCAAATTATTAGAGTGGGAGAGTGTTGTCTAATCATCTAGTTTGCTTATATTCACCCCGTGAAAGCCCATTACCTGCTTTTATCGGGAAAGTCTACATTTTTAATAAACACCGAACGTTTAGCCAGATATTATTATCTTCTGTCATTAAGGTAGCTGGAAGCAGCATTGTTTTGTGACCTCACAGTAACTGGAGCCATTTCAGTGCGACCAGCCTATGAGTCTCAGAAACAGTTGGCCTTGTTGAGTGGAGTGATGGCACGCCCAAGCTCACATTTCCCTGTCCCAATCTGTGCTCCAGGGGGCAGCAGCTGACGATGGCCGGCTGAAACGCGGGGACCAGATCTTGCTGGTGAATGGAGAGAGCCTGGACGGGGTCACACACGAGCAGGCTGTGGCCATCCTGAAGCGCCAGAGAGGGGCGGTCACCCTCGCCATCCTGTCCTGACCCCACCCCCAGGTGCAATGCCAGGACAGGTCAGAGGGAGTTTGCCTTAATCGGAAGGGAATCGGAAGAGTCCTGAGGGGATCTGTGTTTGTGTGCCGCTTTCTCAGAGAGGCCTAAGGAACCTGAAAGTGGCCCGCAGCAGTTCTGAGCGTAGGAGTCTTGGCCCGACCCTCAAGGTCCGCAAATTCAGAAAACACCACCTCCAAAGTACTGTTGGAAATGTGTTTCAGTAACGTTACACCATAGAGTGATGATTAAAATTGCAAATTGATATTTTAATTGCACAAGACATAGAACATTACAATAAAATGTTTTTGAAGGCAGTGTCCACGGATATCTACTGGCCATTTTTCTTTTTGTCACTGCAAAAGAAAAACTGAAGGACCTTTAGAGTCCCAAATGTTCTCACTAGAATGTGAGATTGGGTGCCTCTTTTCACTCATTTAAGTGAGCTGTTAAAACATGGGATCATCCCACATGTTTGTGCCGAGATCACGTTTCTTCTTTCTGCTGTTACAGAATATGGACTAAGAGAGGCGTTGTGTACTGTATGACGCATATAAAACCTAAAGAACACATTAGCATCAATTCAAAACATGAAATTGATTTGTTACTACACGGAGTAGCATATGCATAACCAGTTATAAAAAAATAAACTTCCACTTTTAGGAGTCACCTGTAAGCCATGTGTTAATTTTTTGTGAATTACATACAGTACTACCATGTGCTTATTAGTCTTAATCGCTAATAATAAATAAACCTAGGCTGTTCCAGTAGAAAAGTAATAAGAGGTGTTTTAAAAAGTTACCCCTAAAATAATGTTTTAAATAAATAGGGTATAAATCACGTTTGACACTTGAAAATTATATGCAAAAAGACCTTATAACCACCTATCCCAGCCTGATTGAAACGCAGCTCTATTGCTTTCTGTGCTGTGAGCCTATAAAGTGTTTCAGGTAGGAATTTGTGTTGACTGATGGTTGTCTAACCTTCCAGTGACCCTTAGACGATGACATTTCGACCAGTGAAACAGGACACAGCGAGGGTCTCTGGTCAGTAGACCAGTGGGCAGGGTGTGAGCCATTGAGGAGCGTCAGTCATTTCTGCAGGGTTAGCAGGCTAGAGGTGACAAGAGTAAAGTCTGTAAAGTTTTTCATTCAGGGATTTCATGCAGAGATATATGGTCATCAGTACTTCTGAAACCCCTCCTCCCCCTTCACTCTTTGTTCATTATTATTAAAATAGCCAAAATGTAACAACCGTAACCTTTCCTGAAACTCGAATCGGAACAGAGCAGTTGTAGTGTTGCAGAATCAGGTCTAAATTTTTTTTTAAGCTTGCTTTTCTTAGTTTATATTTAGTCCTAAGTCTTCAATGGTGCGTAGAAGTGTCATTTTGTTTTTCGCTACAATTCTCTTCTAAACACAAAAAAGTGTATCCAGTAGGCACGTAACACAGAGCCACGCACACCAACCAAGAAATTGCTTTACAGAAACACTGGATCAGAGGACACTGATCCTGATTGGAAGAGGGGCTTGTAGCAGTTCTCTGCCATGCTTCAATGAAACTCAATCTAATTGAAATGATTCCTGGGAGAACTGTAGCAATGAACAGTTTCGTTAGAGCTAGCAAGGTCTTTTAAATGCAGGAAAGTGAGAGCAATTTGGTTAATTGCAATCTCAATTAATTGCTACCTTGATGCACGTTTGCTGTGAAAAGCACCAGCCTCAATTTCTCCTTGCCTTATTTCCTTGGAATCAGCCAGTGTGAAGCGTCCATTGTAGACGGTCTCAGAAATAGGAGCTACAGTACCCTGGAGTTTAAGAATGCTGACTAATCCAGCGGTCACTTTAAGACAGGAGCTACAACCACTCTGCAAACTGTGGGTGATCACTCTGATTCCAGCAGGTGGTTAAACTACAGAGGCCATCCCCATTCTGGTTTGAATGGGTTCAGTCCACCCTGTCTCTTAGTGGCACTTCCATTATTGATAGGGAGGAGCTACTTTGGGCAGGTGTCTAATCTTTTTATGGAAAATATCCCACTTGCCTTTTTAAAACTCATGTTTGTTCTTAAAAAAAATATTTCCAATAGGATATCGATGCCCTTGTAAATAGTTAAATTATTACATTTTCTGTTTTATCCGCCTTCATTTTTTGTCTATTTGTTAACTGTGGTTGTTGTGAGCAGTGAGGGCTGGTGTCCAAGACTAGCTACTGTCTCTAGCATTGAATTCCGGAACTGGACTGAATGCAGGAAATCTGCCATTTCCTGTCTGATGTGTGCCTGTACACAAACATGATTTAAACAAGTTCCCATCCATGTCTCAACATCATTTCTTGAAGACCTAAGAGTTTTAACAGGAACACATCAAGTCAGCAAAGCGTTTATGAATATTAAAACTGAAGCTGTGACCTTTGCAAACGCTTTGCCCATGCCTGTCGGCCCAATCATGTTGTTTCTCCTGGATGTTGCCAGTTCAAGACCAGGCTGTGCCACAGGTAGGGCCCAGTTCTACCTGCCGTCACAAGGGGCAGTGTAATAATGGCAGCAGAAGGACAGAACCTCCCTCTAAAATACTGCAGTAAGGGTGAGTGGTAGGGCGCAGTTCAACAGAGACTGTTTCAGGTGTGATGTCTGTGTCTCCTGAGCTGGCATCTGGGAATCATGCCCAGAATAAGGCAGCAGTATAGATTTTCTTCAACATCCACATGTGAAAACTACACGTTCTATAGTGCTTTTGTACTGTTTAATTGATCTTGGTTTTCTAATATCCATTCTCTGAAGCAAACCTGTTTCTGTTGTTTGCATTGCAACTTTTTATTGTTTTTCTTCCCCAAGTAACTGAAGTTCCTACTAAGCTGCCCAGCAATAATACACACAGCATGGAAAAAATTGTCAGTTCATGTTCAAAGACTTTTCACCATTAGAAGTCCTAGATTTGACCATTTTGCAAAACATCATGTTGGTAAAAACGTAACACTTAATTCCGTTGATTCTTTCTAACGCACACAATCACTTTACTCTGTTAGCTAAGTGATTACTATGTTGTTTTTTCAAACTCCTTTAAAAAGAATAAGGTTGTTGTATCTATTTCTGTTATTCTCCTCTAAATCCATTAATAACAGTTATTATGTGCCAAAAAAAATCAATCATCTTTAGGATTTTTTCAGGAGGTCCCTAATTTCACACTTCAGTGGATGTCTGCAGAATACAAGTTGAATTGCAGCTTCATTTTGACTATATCAAGCCAAGGAAATTATTTTTTGGAAACATAAAATCTTAGTGTTTCAATGCAGAGCACAACTTTGTTTTTTTAGAGTCAGAAAATGGTCCTGGCATTTTTCAAAAGCCTCCCACGGGTTGTTTTTTTTAACGTATGATTGTAGAAAATGTGAAAATGAGAAAGGCCCAAAGGAACATTTCAGTGCCATTTCAGTGTTCTGGTGGTCAGGTTAGCATTGTCTGTTTCTCTGCAAACCGTGAGCTGTAATCCTCCTGTTTCAGACCTGGCATTGTAAAACTAAATCACCTTCAAGTAACTGCAGTCGGTTAGTAACGAAATATGTCTGACCAGCAAAAACTCCTTTTCTTGTCGGCAAAAGAGATGTAGCAAACAGACTTTATATTCAGTTCCGAGTTCTGAGGAAAATCATTGTGTGTATCTCCGAGCTGTGTCAAACACAATGCTTCCAAACTGTAATAATGAAATGGGTCTCCGCACCCCTTGGTAACTGTGTCAGTGTTTCATTTTTTGTCCTCTTATTTCCGATGTTTTTGTGAACGTTACTGTCGCTTTGGGAATTCCGGGATTTCCATGGTGGTGTCTTAGATGTTCATTCTAATTGTTTCTACTGTATGTAAGTGAATAAAAGAGAAGCTGGACTGGTGCTGGTGGCCTTTTGTTTGGTGTACCCAAACAAACATGTGTTGAGATACACCTTCGGGAGACTAGGTGGTGACTGCCAGTCTTCTGTGGTACGAAGGAAACAAAGCTTGTATGTGTCACTAATCGATGTGTAGTGTTTTTTTGAAATCCAAAGAAATTAACTCAAACCAGTTAATAAAGCTGAAATGAAATTGCAGAAAGCTGTGTGGAGCCTGAATAAGATGAATCCCTGAGAGCAAGATTATGAGCTATAAGGTTTGTGAGTCAAAACACTGTGCTTCAGTGCTACTCTTCTCTTGTTTTTGGAATATCCTCCTCTGTTTTATAGTCTAGAAACAATTCATTCCTAACATGAGACCTTTAGAAAGGTAACAAACCATGCCTCCTAAAGAAGAAATGAACTATGCGATAGACCGAATACAGGCTCATGTTAAAGCCTTTTTGTAGAGGTATAGGGACCTTGACAATGATGGACTCCTTGAACACACTCCCTCCTTAGCACACATGTTGAAGCCATGAGTCCGTACCAGAGGAGCAGGACCTGAGAGCTGACGAGGTGAGTCTACTGTGGTGATGGGCATTCAGTTGAGGAACGGACCAGATTTGGGATCTGCAGCTCTTGAACTCATGAGAGCGGGTCTTCGGGTTGTTCAAAGCGAAAAAGATGATCCTACCATTAAAATAAATAAGAGGAGGCCATTAATCCTGTCTTGCTCCTTTTGTTGCCAGTAGTTTAATGCTTTAAGACATCAGCTTCAACCACATGACCGGGAGCTGATTCCAGAATCCGCAAAGGAGTTGCCAGAGGAAGTTGCCTCTGGTTTCTGTTTTGAATGTTCTGAACACACGTTCCATTGTATCACTGGATCCCTCTGTTACTGCTGACCTTGATGACTGCCTGAATCATGTGCAATAAACAAATTATATTAATTTGAGCTATTGGTAACAAAGTCTATAACATCTATAACTAATCAAGACCTAAACAGAGAGCCTGGGAGCAACCAGTATAATCTGAGGTGCTCACTTAACATCAGGTGAACGTGCAGGCAGGTAAGGCAAAGCATTTCAATTTTCACGGCTAGAGCATTGTAGGTTTCTGGGTCTTGTAAATCTTGGAGACACATTGTTTGGTGTATAGTGTAACGTGTAATGTTGTATGTTGTATAACATTTAGTGTTGTTCAGTTTGTGTTTTAAATTATTAATAAGTAATTGTTTTTTGTGTATCAAACTGTAACACTAATTTTATGACTTGTTTGCTGGGGGTGTGCCATAGAATGAAGCACTCACTTGCCTCAAATTACACCTACCTCTCATGCCGTTGTCTCCCTAATTTTGTGACAAGCATTATCCATTATGCTTCAATGGGGTGGGATACATACAGTGCCCCCAAAATAAGCCTAAATTAATTCATTTGGAAAGGATAGGTTTGACATTTATGTTCTTATCTGACCTAATTGCTAAGATATGAGATTGACAGGTGACAGACAAAGAAGAACACAACAAGCACAATTGTGCTATGGGAGCAGACTAGGACTGAATGGACAAACAGATGGTGGCACGCCATCAATGTTGTGAGACAGGATGCTCAGCGTACATGCACCTGTGATAGCTAACAAGGTGAGTTTGCCGTGGTTAAACAAATTTCAGTAAAATGCCAATATATGCGATACGTGTCCTCCGTGACGTGGTCTTCTGAAAATGTCAAGGCATGGTTTCTGTGTTTTTTAGCCATCATTCTTTATGATTGTCCAGGTGAACCCATTATTATCATTGACCATTCAATTGAATGCTATTATTGATTTAATGTAAAAGAAAATAACACTTTACATACAACGCAATAATCTCAAAGCCAAACAAGCCCTCATTGGTGGATAAGGCTAACCATAGTAACTCCACTACAGCTCAGATCTATAATGTGCTAGATCTGCAGAGCAGGATAAATCTACTCGAAGATACAAATGCAGTTTTGCCCATTCTGCAGGGGAGTGACAATGTGATTCCCTTAAAAGACTGCTGTAGTGAGAATAACAGAATGTAATGCAAGCCAATACACATGGACTTTGTATTTTTTTTATCATTCTTGAGTGGTTACCATGGCAGAGAAACACAATCAGTTACACATTGGTGTAAATATATAGGATCATTCTAAGCTCAACTAGAAACAGGACGTGTAGGGATGCAAGATCCTCGAGTGGACCTTTGACCTACACCTGTGTTTTGCTTGCTTTATCCACTTGTGACGTTTTTGTTTCCAGCATTTTAGTGTGCTCTACAGACTTCCTGACAAATGTAGAATCCAAAGAGGCTCAGTGAGCTCTCTTGTTTTGATTTGGAATGGGAATTTAAAGAATTGTATCTGGGGGGGTTGAACATGTCAGGTATTTCAAGACCTGGACAGTTAATTTCTTGGGTGTCATCAAACTTCATTTCCAGTTAGCAATCTTCATTTTGTTGGTGGTCCAGAAGATTAATAAAAGGGCTTGGTTGCCAAGATCCCAGTGGAACCCCTGGCTCTGACATCCACTTGCTGTTTGAAACTCAATGGCTTACTGATTCTCCCTGTGCTCTTTGATGAGACACAAACCAAGTCCCAAGGTGACACAGCAACAGCTTTTGTTCCTCCATATTTCACTCGTTTGTCTTTCTGATTTCTGGAGCATTATTACTTCTGCATGACCCATTATCCTCAAGGCTGTGGTCATCTCTCTTCCTCACAGCTTCCTCTTTTATCTTGTTCCTCCCAATTCCTTCCAAGCCTAGACCTAATTCCAGCCCTGGAGACACCTTGCTACAGCTGGTTTTCATCACTCTTATGAACTGATTGATTAATTGATTGAGTTACAAATTGCTTGATTGGGACTTTTTCAAGATTTTAATCTACCCCACAGTTGGGGGATTGTAAATTACCTCTAAAAATGCCTTAGTTAAAAGGCATCCTCCAACATCTTCAACAGAAAGAAACAAAGAGCTCAGATTAATCCTATTATTAAGTCAATTAAAGGCTTAATTACTAACTGCAAGCCCAGCTGGAGCAAAACCAACAGGAAAGCGGAACCAGCTTCCATGGTGGTAAAAGGTGGCGATAGGGCGCCGGTGAGTGATTTACTTATATAATTAACCACTAGTCAGCAAGGTTGGTTTTACGTGCGTGGCTTAATTGACATTTTGGAAAGGAAACCAGAATTTCCAGCACTTCAAGTTCTCCTGCAAACTTCATAATACAGGCACTGACCTTCCAAGAAAACAGAATGAGTGCAAAGTAAGGAGAAAACGTGAGAAAAGGCTCAGTGCTCATTCCTGGTCGAGGATGCACAAAAGACCAAAACTATTCACTGTAGAGACATTCTGCTTTGAGTAGAAAAAAAAACCCACAAATATAAAAGCTAGAAAAAGCAGATGGTAAATACAGATGTTATTTGACTGTCCGTTTAATTACAAATTTTGAAACTGTTCTCTCCTGCCTGTGTCTTATTAATAGTTAAGAGTTTTAAGATTTTTTACTTTACTCCTGCACTAGCATCCCTGCAGTAGTTACCTGTTACAAAGATAGTGCTGACCTGAGGTCTATGGAATTAACTTAGCCATGAGTTCATCATAAAGTGATTTGATGGAGGAAGGGGAAACATACAATAATTTAACACAAGAGTTAGCCAGCCAATACTTTAATCATCTACTGGAAAGCAATGTGCATAATCCACAAGATTAAATATGTATTGGAATCAGCAGTCTCTCTAAGAGGGTGGGTTTGCTGTTTTCAACCAATCTGTTATTGTGAAGTGCTTTGCTCTGGCAAGCAGGAAAAATGCTCTGAAATCTTCCAACAGCTTGTAACTGTGGGTCATGTTCTTGGTTTAATGTTCTGGGTTTTATTCATTAACAAAATCATTAACAAATCATTAACAAAAAATCCTCTGAAGCACAAAGAAAATTGCACACTAGATTTTGTTACTTCTTGCTGTTCCAAGACAGAAAAGTGCAATAAAACATCCTACTCATCACTAATGTGTTACAATTTAAAACATCCTACTCATCACTAATGTTTTACAATTTAACTTTCATCATTACAAAAGATTAAATATTAACTGGTAAATAAGCATATTTTTGTAGACTTCTAGAATAATCCAACTACATCTGTTGATGCAGATATTTTTATTGTCACTCTATAATCATTAAAGAATAACAAGAAGCCTGCATTATAACATTGTCCTAATAGTACTTTACAATGTGTCCCTCTAAATATGTAATTATACAAACCACCTGGGACCTGTATGGTTAAATATCTGTTAGGTTGATCAGTGACAGCATCGACAGATTAGGTTGGGGTTTTGGTCTCTGGTTTCTTTCACAAAGGATCATGTAAATCATTTGTTTTTCACAAGATTAAGAGCAGAAAAATATTTTGGAACACACAAGCCTTCACATATTAATGTGTAGTTAAGAAAGAGTTGAGCAGTAAAGAAGAAACACATAGCTGCTAAACTGTAAACTGTATTTTCACGTATTCTTTGCATAGAGACAGTATTGTAACAATAAGAGGTTAACCTATGATTCTTCCTCCAGATTTTCCCTCAATCTCTTGATGCCAAGTGACTGATCTGCTGCACTGTCCTTGATTTGCTACACATGTGGTGAGAGAAAAATATAAGAGCATCTAACAAAATCAGTCACCGCTTACAGAACTTTGTGACCTTATGTTTCCACTGAGAAAAAGTCATGTAAAAGCTGCTGCTGGCTGCTGTAAACCTCTTAAGTGTTACACCTCAGCAATCACTTTAAAGCAAATTTGATTATATTATTGCAGTGGATGAAACCTTGACTGTCAGAACTATAGACATTGAAGCTGTGACATGAATTCTGCAGCCCCTTTCGTTTTATGCTCTTCAATGTAAGCAAAGCGTAAAGCCCAACTACGGACCATGCATCTGGATAATTAATGTCAGCAACCCGGAATTTCTATGAGGGCTCTGAATGCTGAAGTAGTCCAATCCATCCATGTTCTTGACTGAGCACTCACACACGCTCGGGCCTGATGTCACTTGTCGACTCCTTCACATCAGAAACATCAGAACGGTTGTAAAACAAGAGGAGGCCCACCTGCCCCAGTTGGGAAATTCGCAACAAACTGTTATTTCCTGGACGGGAATTCAGCATCTCTCCCATGCTCCTATTTGTTCCTCTCGCCTGACGTGTCTGTCCGTTCAAATCGACGCTGCTTGCCGCCGCTTGGCGCGCCAGGAGTCTTCTGAATCTGCACAGGTCTGGAGAGAGCGACAGCCGGGCGAGTGTCTTTCGTGAGGGGGGGCCGATGGCGGATTCTTAGCTGGGCTGGTGTGTTGGGGGATAGCTGGCCCCAGACCTGCCGGGGGCTCTGCGTGCAGGACAGCTGGGTGCAGAAGGCGAAGGGTGTGCAGTGAAGACAAGAAGATTGGACGCTCCTCCCAGGACTACATAGCCGTCACGGTGACTTCACCCGTCTGCATGGTGACATTCTCATAAGCGTTCTCGTGCTCAATGGATCTGCAACACAGACACGCTGTGGGGTTAAGGCACACACATCTGGACCTTGCCAATCACTTCCCCAGACACGTATTTAAGTATTTGGAGTTTTCTTTGCATGTGTTGCAGTGCTTATGTTTCCCATAAAGGTAGCTGTGGAGTTCTGTTCAAAAACACCTGTTCATATACCATTTCAAACGGGAATCTTGCATTCAGATTATTGGAGTTGTTAACTGACTGTGACTCAATGAAAAAAAAAAACAAATTGGGACTAGTCATGTCATCCCTATTGTGTTTATTTTGTGGTAAGTTATTAAATGAAATGAAGCTATGATTAGCATTACTTAAAAGGACAGTTTGCGATTGTCATTTCATCCTGACACATTCCAAGGGGTAAGGAAGGGCAGTGGTTTCTTAAGAGCTGCATTTGTAGAAATGAAAAAGTCAGATTTAAATCTCTCTGAATAGGGATCTCCCATTCCCCATTCTCCTAGAGTTGTTCCCAGCTCTCCAGAAGCATTTCTGCTCATATCAGCATCAAACCTGTGCATGAACCCAAGAAACGGGATACTGGTGAGTTTTTGTCTGATTGGTTTAGTCCTACAGTACATGTTTTCTATAGTATAGTCTTTTTGCTGTGCATCTTAGCTCATTCTCATTCATTCTCATTCTGTGAGGGTTTCTGAAAGATATTCACAAAATTATGGAGTGCATACAAAATCTACTGAGTTACTTTTCCTGTTAATAATTTAGTTCTAGCAGACAAATTGAAATCCCTTTTCCACAGTGTGATACTGTAGCTGATGCCGTGTCTGCAGAGAGAGTTGGATTACCTGACCGAGACCAGTCTGAGATCGTGGTTGGTGCCGTTGGTCATTGTGTACTCGTTGACCTTCGTCTGCTCCAAAGCACCTTCCTGGCTGTCAAGGAACACAGCCCTTTAGTCTTGTGCATTACTGAGTCAGGAGGACAAGACTGTCCTCATCAGATGCATTATTTCATTGCAGTGCTCTGTTAAAATACTAGTCTTAAGTAAAACAATGGAGGAAAGACAAATGACATTTGCATTCATTGTTTAATGTCCTTAACAAGTGAACATTTCAATTAATAATTCAATTTTTATGGACAATTTAACTTTCTGGAATTTTCACACTACTAAGAGAAATACCGCCAAATATCCTAAGTTCAGCACAAGAAAGACAAAGTATAATAGTTATCAAGATTTTTCTCAAATTATTGTTTTGACACGCGATTGGCATGTATTGTTATTGGGGCCTTTTGTAGACTTCAAATTAAGATTATAACGATGCAGGAATGCAGGAAGGTCCCTGAGACGGAATTAGAAGTTATTTGAAGCAGCACGTGAGCAGGGCAGTGGGATTGTGGGAGCTCACCCGGAGTCCTGACACCACACCTTGTTGACGATGAAGGAGATGAACACGAGCGACAGGAAAACTACCACAGCAATGATTCCTGTCAGCCACGGGGGCAGTGCTCTCTGCACCTTTTCTGAAATCCGAAAGACATGGGTTTTAGGTTTTATAATATGCAGACTTCCTGTCGATCTCTCTGACAAACCATTTCTCTTTAAGCATCCTCTCGGGGAGATCTGCAGCAAGTCACACATGGAATTTATAGCAACAAACCCCAACTAATTTTGACATAGTTAAAAAATTAATGAAAAATAAGATTGCCATGGTCATTCCTTTGTGTCTGGATGTAGTCTACTGTATTTACATATGTATGCATTCACCCAGTCAGAGATTTGCTGAGTTCCTTGTTTGTGCCTTACAAGGGGACTTCTACAAGGTATGCCTCAGGTCCCCATGTGTCTTTTTCACCAAGTCAAAAAAAAAGATGTATTGCAAAACTTATATATAGTGAATCATACCTGTTGAGAAATCTGCTCAAAAGAAGATGCAAACAGGATGATTTATAAAAGTCCTTATTTTCTGAAACGTACTCTCCTTAATTTTTAAAGTAACTGATTTTGGAAAACATCCTTGGAAAATATGATTCTTCGAAATTCCACTGTGCTTTTCATCCCAAGGGAGGTGAAAATATTTGTGTAAAATATAGGAGGGGATATAGTTCATGAACAACTTCACCACAACTGAAGTGCAACATCCACCTTGATGAACCACAGTGGTTGTTATGCGCCAGCAGTCTCACTGCATAGCAGATCAGGTAAAGTGAAAAACTGCTTGACCGTTTGAATTAAGTGGGGACTAGGGAGTCTAGTGTGGAACTGAAAACACTGTTATGAGATTAACAGCTCTACTCTTGCTAACAGTCATGGGATCCTTAATAACCAACTCATCTCACCTGAGAGACAACACCTCTTTAGGCAGTGGTATGGAAATTCTGATGGAAGAGAACCGCCTACTAGTCCTCTAGTCCCACCTACAGAAGCAGCCTGGTTGTCCTGGACAGTTTTCCTTCCAGTACAAATCAGCTTAGCTTCTGAGCTCTGAAGAGATCAGGCTGCAAGCAGGCAACACTGTTGTTCCAGTGGAAGTATGGGTGAAGAAGAGTACAGATTTTACATACAACCAAAACAGGCACAGAATTTGTCCCCGTCATCTGATTCGGTTCAGCAACCAAGAAATTTCCAAAAAATAAAAACTTGTTCTGAACTGCGTACTGAAATTTGCAAAGTTATACATGTGACTGAAACTAAATTTTAACAAATTAATGGATAAAATTTCCAGCATCCATTCATAAAATAAGAAAAAAAAATCCTCATTTAGGTCATCTCTTCCCTCAGAAAGGTTACAGAGGAGATCTTTCAGTCCAAGGTCATCTCTCTCCACCAGCTGGTTGATTCACGATCTCATCAAGATCCAGTTCGAGGCACCAACCACTCTAACACTTACCAATTAAGTTGGCTTTTGTCCCGTTGTCACAAAGTTGATGGCAGAGTTGTTCATTGTGTTGACATAGTACTAAATGTATTTTCAAGACCTGCTCCTTTCAGAACTAAAGACCTAGCTCCTTCATGCCTTTATCCAAGGGTACTGACATACCTTACAGACCAGGAATGAATCAAATATCGTTTCTTTTGAAAATTGTATTTTTTTTTTAAGAACACATTATTCCAACAAAGAAATCTCAAGAAAATAAAAATTTGACATTCCTTTAGAATTGTTATCCTTAGGTTTGTTCTCAAGTTCTTCATACAAAGAAGACAACCACATCAAAGTGCATTAGCCCTTGGCCCTTTTTTAAATAATAATTCATTATCGAAAACTGTATTACATGAAACCACACAATTTTAATGTAGAAATGGCAATAGTATCATTATTCTGAACTCCTGTCACTAAATCACAATACACACTTTTTTAAAACATACAGTTTATGCACAGTTGATAGACAAGATCATTAAAGTTAATTAGCTTAAAATGCCAAAGCACAAAGAACAGTGATGGATTTTGGGCCATTTATCATTCTCTTGTTGTTATAGTTTGGTAGCACTTTACCACAGAAATCATTCCAGTTTTAAAAGATGACATGAAAACGATGTCTGAAAATATCAATGCCATACGCAAATATGATTAAGTGATTTGGACCGTATTGTGATCATCAATACTAGATTTTAACAAGCCTAGTTAAACAGCAAGCAAATTCTGCAGATGAAAAGTGCAGTAAATTCCTACTGATATTAAATGCTGCAAGAAAATTGTATAAAGTTTTGTATAAATTTCACTGATAACACAACACATAAAGCACTCTGTTTAAAACTGTAATTATTGAAAAACAGTTGTGTGAACCTAGTCTCGAATAGAGAGACGCATGGCTGATCGTGCCTTTGGTAGACTTATTCCACAGCTTTCTTCCACCCCATTAATCATATAATATGACACCTCTTACCTTGCTGAGCTGCTACTGGCCCTGAGATGTGTAGGATCCAGAGTAACATAAAAACTATTCTCTGCATGGTGATCTAAAACTAAAGCTAAAAACAGGTTTTCTTTTTTTCTTACAACAGAAAGAGAGTCTGAGCTGTGAGAATAAAGAGCAGAGCGAGCCTGACTCTGGCCCACGTCCTCTTGATAATGACTGACACTCTCTGCACAACTAAGAAACTGCTCAGTACTAACTGCTGGGTACTCAATCTCTGCCAGCAATTGGTCACCTATTAGAAGTTGTTTTGAAAGCCGACAAGGAACAGCAGTCTCTCAAATAAGTTTAGGACAGATCATATATTAGGACTAGACTGTAATTTCTTGAATTGTATTTAAGTAATGTATATTTCAGAATTTCCCTTTTCTGAATTCAAAAGGACTGAATGGAGAAAAGAATAAAACCAGAAAATATTTCTATTGAAGGACAGATTACCAAACTGTAGTCATCAACGACACAAATGAAAAAGAATATTTTTAACACTTTTTGAGGGTTATTTTGCCAGTTAAGGTCATTCTTTATTGAAATGTTTCAGGAATGTGTGATGATATTTTGCCCTTTCATAAAAAGGAAGCTCGATAAAGAGCTCTGCCTAACTCTGTTCCCATCCGAGAAATCAGATTGTAGTTCCTGTATAGTAATTGCACACACAATCCAGGTCAGAACAGTGTGGAGTTTGTTTTATATAGCTGAGTATTGCAGACAAACAAACCCGGAAACATAAATTGAATATGTACTGAGAAACACAGTGAAAAATGAAAACGCTGGCTGGAAGGCGAGGCTTTTAAGTAAATATTTGTCTGATGCTATGGCACAGGAGCCAGAAGTGAAAAATGAGTAGATTGCTCAGACAGCAAAGACAGGGCATCTACAAACAAACTCAGCTCCTCTGGGCTCTTTGTTTATTAGGTAGGGATTCAAATAACTCTGCCACATCTGTGAAAGATGGAGACCATTGATTACCTGTATATTGAAGTGCAGGGAAAGTGTTCATACAACCAGATTTGTATTGGAAGGACCCAGTTAAAACAAAAACCAGCAGTTAACCATGTACAGAACTGACAGTTGTCCTCGACAAAGGAACAGGTAACGGGTTTTTCCCATGCTGAAAAGAAAGGAAACAAAACGTTTTGGTTGTCACCTCCACAGTTGAAACATTGTGTTTCCTTTCTTTTCTTTTCAGCCAGGAATAAACCCGTTACCTGTTCCTTTGCAGCCTACACATGCTGACACAGCTCCCTACTTGAACTACGTTGCCCTCTACACTCCACTATATGCCTGCTTCTGTCACACCATTCCATGTCTTTGAATAGCCCTTAACTGGTATACTGGTTTGACTTACTGGATCTTATGTTAGGGTTGAAATCGTTTTCCCTTTTTTACTCCTTCTGGATATTGTGTAACATCTATTCTCGCCCCTTCCATCCTGACCTCAGGCTTCAAAGAGAAAGTATTGAGGATTTGTTGATAAAGGTGCACTTGAGGAGTACCTCAAGTGGAGGAAGCTATACAGCCAACGGTAATTTATGATGCGTCTTCCATTTAATTGACTTTAATTTCAAGTTTTGTTTCCTTGAAGATGTACGGCTGCTTGCACTAGCAGTGACACTAGCTATTTACCAGATAATTACAGGCTCCATTTGAAAGAGGGAGGTTAACTGGGATATTAATCAATGTAACCAGACAATGCCGTTGCCAAGGGAACTGAAGTTTAAAAAAACACGTCTTTGTGTTAAGCTCTCCCTGTAGTGGACCAAACACCTCTCCAGTCCCCTCCAAGAAGGAAAGCAAGTCCCACGCTCGTGACTCCCAACACCACAGTGCCCTTGGCACTTTTTATTTCTTGATGAGCTGTCACAACGTACAGTGCAGTGACTGATCCATCTGAAATGGCAAGGGTGATGGCCGATAAAAACTTTCCCATGAGAAGGTGGCGGCAGTGTCCTCTGCCTCTGAGTCCCTAGCCGACACAGGGAGAGCATGGTGAGGCAGGTTCATTAGCAGGGGTGAATGGGAGTGGGCCCTCCCTCTCCACTCTGGGGAAGAATAAATCAGCCTGTGAAAGACGCCCTGCGCTTCCTCTGTGTCCAGGCACCTTATTGTTTTCCCACATTGTACAGTTCCAACAGAATGAGAAAGCCCCCCCCAACCCAGTCTCAGTGCCTCAACAGCTATCTGTGCAGTCATCCCTTGGGGAGCCCTCAGTGATTTTCCAACTGATTTACTGACTGATAGCGCTGAGATACTCCCTGATGGAGCCTTTCCACTGCTTCACACCATAGCTGAGAATTTTTGCACATTTTACTGTTGATTGGGGGAATCCACTGGGAGCTCTCCAGCCTTGATTAGCAATCTGAGGACTAGAGAATGGCATTATATCTACTTTGTTCCCAGTCATTCTCAGTATATTGGTGGGGGGGGGGGGCTGTGAGAAAAGGGGTCTTATCGGTTTGCATCTCGATCTTTTCCAATTGGCTCTGGGGATTCCCTAACTAGATATTCAGTTCCCATCAAGGAATCTGCAAGAAAGAGAGGTGGGAATTCTGAGGAAATAAAACAGTACCCACAGCCTGTAATTAGAAGGTAATTCAGTAGATTGTGATATTGTGAAACCTTTAGAATTTGGCATTTAGAGGACAGCAGTTCAAATGGCGTGTTAGTTTGGGTTGTGGATTATAACTTTATTGTGTTTTCCAAAACATGTGATTTCAGGTCATTTGTCTTTGTTGGACATATTAATGTCCAGTTCGACATGGAGATTCAGATGCTGCTGTGATTGTGGCTTTTCAGTTGTAAAAGATTCAGACAGCCAAGGCATCCCAGCTTTCTTCACCAATGCAGTTCTGTTTAAACTAAAGCTTTGCAACACTACTGCCTGGTGCTTAATTGGAGGACAAAAGAGCCTAAGAAAGGTGATAAATGAAAGCGGGCCATTCGTCTCATTTTGACTGTGCCTGTGCTCTGGAAGAGGATATTTTCACACAGCATCACAGGGATGGAACTGTGCAGTAGAGGTATCCCAGGACCTTCTTAGCATTCCATACAGAAAGAGAAATACATCAGGGCAGATTTAGCTTTTACTAAATAATAGGGATTGCTATAGTTAACTATATACAGTATTCTACTTTGTACTATAATATATACTTGGTTCCTTTTTGATAGGAGTCCTAGCTGTTATTGTCCTATTGGCCGAACTTAAACCTCAGAAAACATCATTCCTGAGATCTTCTTCTGAATTAGCTTTGTCTAGTCTTGAAAATTTCAAACGACCTTTGTGGCATTTTTAAATTCTGAGCCACTGAAACAATAATGCTGAATCTGAATGACACCTCTGTGGTATGCGTATTAATTTTCTTACACATGCAGACAGAGCTTTAAATACTGGTTGAAAAGAATCCAGTGACTCACAAGTCCTGTACAACTGGAGTCTTCCTTTAGCTTTCTGTTGATTTTATACTGTAGATATCGAAATCATGAATGGTATCATATTAATGGAGGGCAGCGCCTGCAAGATGCTGATAACTTTATAAATAATTCAATCCTGTGTTTTGTTTTGCATTTTTTGCTTTCAAATTGTATTCTCAGAATAAGACATGAGATTCTTTTTTTTTTTCATTTGGTGCTTTCCCAGCAAGAGGACAAATGTGAGTTAATGAAGTTGAATGTCTCCGCTAACCAGAATCTTTTGTACTCTCAAGAGTGCTGACTAGCTCTGAGACGGCCGACTCCTTCGAAAGACACTCAGAGCTGTCCCAATCAATACGGCTGCAGGGGGTTAATCTTCCCCAATAGCAACCTGCTGAAGATGCTGTATAGACTGGGTTTTGCCTTCTTATCCCAATTCATAGCATCAGCCTCACAGTGCTGTAGCCCATGTTAAAGCGATTTGGAGAGGTATTTCAGGATCTTTCTGATCTCCCAGTCCTTTTCAAAAACATCCAAATGACTCTGAATATGGAGTGTACACAGGAGTGCATGTCTCAATTATGCCAATGAGTCATTAGATATGAAAGACTGTGACTGTGGAAATCTAGCACGAAGGATCGCTACAGTTCTTCAGAATTTACGGAATACTGCTATGAATGGGCAGCTAAAGAATTAAGTCTCAGAGCTGTGTTGAACTATATCAGAAATTAATAAGAAGAATTATGAAGGTTATAGCTAATCATGTAGCCTGGAAAGTCTCACTCAAAAAGGAGGAAAAAGTTACAGAAGGTGAGAAGTCACACCGCTGATGTCTTGTGACTTCCCACAGTACAGAGTGGTAAGGGTGATGTAAGGCATCTTTGTCCATTTACTGCTTTTGAAACTGGACAATATATTTGAAATTAAACAACAGACATAATACAGTATTCCACCTTAAGAGCAGGATTCATTCTAAAAAAATCTCTCTCTAAAAAATATTTTTAAAATATTGAGTAAGATGAACATACTGAAGTGGTGCTATAACTGCTATAGAACGTACAACAGGTCAAGGGAACCGGCCGCCTTTCAGCCAGCCTGCAGGTCTGTCCAGACACCACTCACACTCTTCAGCAACTTGGCAATACTCAGCAACTTCAGCAACTTGGCAAAGATCACAATACTGTTCTGAGGTTGCAGACAACCTTCTGAAAGCCTTGACTAATGTTCTAATACCCCCATACCAGCTCCAGAAAGACCCAAATATAGATCTAATATGATAGGCTTCAGAGAAACACGTCAACTGTTCTTAAATAATAGTCGTTCTTTACATTTAAATAGCGCTTTTCTGGATACTCCAGCTCTTTACAGGCCATATAGGAGAACAGAGTAATGAAACTAATTCATAGATGGGGTTTATTAGGAGGCCATGAGTGGTAAAGGTCAGGTGAAATTTTACCAGGACACCAGGATAACACCTCTATATTTTCAAGAAATGCCCTGGGATTCTTAATGATCACAAAGTCTCAGGACCTCAGTTTTATGTCTCATCCAAGTGATGGTGCCTTTATTAAAGTATAGTGTCCTTATCGCTATACTGGGGCATTAGAGCCCACACAGACCATAGGAAGAGCGCCCCCTGTTGGTCCCTCTAACACCTCTTCTAGCATCAACCTTAGCTTTCCCAGGAGGTCTCCTATCCAGGTAGGTACTGGCCAGGCTCACACCTGCTTAACTTCAGTGGGTTGCTAGTTGTGAGATGCAGGGTGATGTAACTGCTAACTACAAGAACGAAATTGGACAACACAGAAAAACAGTTATTGACCTAATATAACAAACCAGATCCAGAAAGGCACAGTTAATGGTCTAATTTAACAGACCAGCTTGAGAAAAACTTGAATACTGTTCTGACATAATAGACCGGCTCCAGGAAGACCTGACAGCAGTGGTTTCTAAACTATTCCAGTTGAGGTAAGTTTAAAGTATCTGCAAGGTTGGACCTTTTTTATACCTTCAAAGATTTTCGAAGCTCAATCACAGCAATCTGCAGCCTTTGCCTGGTGAGACTAAAGAGATTTGGTTCTTTCCATCTTACATCCTTGCTCATGTCTTTCATCCCAGGAATACAGTAAATCTGACTTCACGCTATGACTACAACATATCCCTCCAGTCTTTCCTTTGTGTGCTCCTGGGCTCGTTCCCAAGCCTCCTGTTTGTGAGTTTAATGTCTCCTACACAGTGCCTACATGATGACAGCACCTAAATCAGCTTGCTGCTCAGCGCCAAACAGCTCTGTAGCACAGCTTATAACCCCATTTCTATTCCCAACATGCAACCTTTTGTATCAAATAATATGAAATGTCATTTTCCATGAATCTGCCCATTTACATATCTGTGCCTGTCTTCTCATTGCCCTCTTGGGAGGTAGCAGGTATTTCTTTTTATCAAGAGGAAATCTTAATTATTGTTTCATTGGTGAATTAATTTTTTTCATTTAAGAGTCTTCCCTGTGTTACGGTAAACTCATTATAAAGACTAGAAAAAGTTACCTGGCTATTTTAATCCGTCCGCACAGAAACTCATGGAAGCATTAAAAACCGTACAGGGAAAATAAAAATGTTTTTATGTTTTCCATAAAACTTGCTTCACTTGAAAAAAAGCATCAAGGTTTCTTTACTTCGTCCCAGGTTTTTTTTTTAGTTGTGGCTCTGAAATTGGTTTTAATGTTGTATAAAAAATGTTTTTTTTCAAGTTAGTAGGATTGGTATAATAGAAGACTAGTGATGCCTTTAGCTGTTGTTTAATGTTTTGCCCACTTTCACTACAGCATCCTGTGGTGAGAGGAGATCACTTAACCTAACTCATTTGTTTGCCTGTATCTTATTGATGATAAGATCTCATCCACGTATCTGATAATGGATCTTAGGGTATCGGCTTCAACAACATGACTGAGTGGCTCATTCCAGACTAAGACAGCCCTTTGTGTAAAGAAGCGTTAAAGAAGGCCTCCTCTAAGTCTTCAGCCTCAAATGCACTTTTACAGAGTTTCTGTTTGGTAGCTCTGAGGAACTTGAATGCTTGAAACAAGCTCCCCAGTAGTTTTCTGTTTTTAAAAGTGAATCAGTTTTTCCACCTGGTGTGGGAGAACTGATCTCATTCTGACCTTTATCACAAGAGATAAACCTGTTCTGTAGTAAACGTTACCCTGCTTTTATTGCGGAGTTTGTCATTGCAAAGCCAGCTCTGGGAGACGATGCCCTTGTCAAGTCCTGTGTGTGAGAGAGATGGTCTGGCTGGGATGTGCAGGACGCAGGAGGGGTGAGATAGAGAGAGCCAGGGCTGTCTGTAGGAGTGTGTGTGTTTGGTGTGGGGATGGTTCAGGTTTAGTCAAGAGGGTGGGAGCCAAAGTGGGGCTGATCAGCATTAGTGAGGCTGCCGCCTCTCCTGATTGCTGCCCTGTGGGGAGAGAGGGGGGTGTCGCCTGGGAACGAGGAAAGACTCCAGTCTTTCACACCTCTCCATCTCCCACCGGGACCTGGAGCAACTGGCAGTGCTGTCCTGGAAATACTAGACTTTCCTGGTTCCAAAAAATACACAAGACCCTAATGAACTGGTTAAACAGGCTAGTACTTCAAGAGGAAGATATCTACTTTTCTTTTCGAATATTCATTTTGGCCAGTTTTTAAATCAGCAACTGACAGTATTTATTAAGAAGACAACGATTCATAAAATCTGGAGACGTATAACTCTTAAAATTAATATGGGCTTGGCTAATTAATTGATTACTCTGCGGTCTCTCTTTAAGAATTTCTAAAGAAAAATATGGTCTGAAGATGAAATCAAACACTTAACTTTTGTTAAGGAAATGCTTGTTAATGCTACAGTATGTTAATTGTAGTTCATTATTATATGATTATATAATTGATAATTAATATATGATTATACAATGTTATATCATTAAAATATTGAACATATAATTTCCTTATTCGATTTGCCATTTTATTGTAGATATTTGATTTATCATACAGTCATTAATAAGTTATTTCTTTTGAGATTTTCTAAAAGTATAAATGAGTGTGTAGAGTAAAATAAACAGTAATATGTTATGGGTAACATTTCATTGAGTCTGTGTATTTTTATTGTTGGTTTTTTATTTGCCTTTGTGCTCAGATGTGAGCAACGGACATTGGTTACTAGGTAAGGTTGATAGCTTTAATCTCTGAATAAATTAAGCCCTAGTCCTCGTTCATCAGGCCGCCCGAGTCTTAAAGATTTGTAATTACAAGTGACTGATAAGCAGTCTCTATTTTTCTATATTAGCAATTGAAATTATACTCTATGTGAACATCTTGTACAACACATTTTGTGAAGAAAATGTTACGTTTTTATATTTCAGAAAAGTATTTTAACAGCCATGTTAAATTTCACACAGTTTGCTTTATTGAGTGCACAATGCTATCTGGTGGTTAAGTATTGTAATTGCTCTGTGTCTGGCGCAGCTGAGTTCATAATGATGTGTTTTCAGTATTGTTGCTGCTCCCTAAAATCAGAAAGTTTGAAATTTTGCTTTTCAGTGATTATTTTATTGCTCTCTCCTGAAAGCAGCTGTGGTTAAATGCGATAAAGCAGAGAGTACATTCCCATGTCAACATCCTACTTAATAATTGCCAGGAATATTATCCAAGTAAGGAAAAAAAAGCTTTAGCAAAGTGTGCAGGTCACAATGAATGTGGTTAAGAATGGTTTTTAGCCATTTATTATTTTCCCTAGCCTTTTTTTGGTATTCTCCTTTATACATTTCTCCATTTATTTTCAGAAAGACGTGTATTCCTGGTTTGGGCTGTGGCCACCCTTACCCATTTACTGTATTACCCATGATAACACGTCTATCAGTTTGACAGGGAAAGACAAGACAAAGCCTTACATTCTAGAATGTAAAACAAAATGGAGGATGCCATTCAGTCCTAGCCTGTCTGACCAATTAGTAGCTTTAGTAGCTAAGTGGTCCTATGCTCCAAACTAACTAAAGGAACAAGTAATAAGTTTATTTCAGGCTGAAAAGAGAAGAAGGGAAGCACAATGTTTCGGCTGTGGAGCCTTCTTTGGGTGTGAGCTTTTTTTCATAGCCTGAGGAACTGTGAAAAAAGGGAAAGAGATTTTAGTATGTTTGGGGTGAAGTGAGCTGTACAGAAGATAGTTGTGTGAGTCTGTGTAAGGCTCCACAGCCAAAACGTTGTGTTTCCTTTCTTCTCTTTTCAGCATGGACTAAACCTTTTACTTGTTCCTTTGCAGCCAATGCATGCTGATGCAGCTACAGCACCTACTTGAACTGCTTCAACTAAAAAAAGTTCTGCTGGCAATGACCTTAAAGTGGGTGAGTATATTAAAATATCTTGGAATCTCTAGCTCATAATCACCAAACAGACTCGTGCTTTTCTGCTACTGGTGGTTTTAGATCTCTGTTATTAACAAATTCACACTATGATATGTGTGGAGTCGCAGTTAGGGGCACCGCCATCATATCTGGAAGGCTAGGAGCTGAAATCCCAGACGGAGCCCTACTGTTGTACCCTTGAATAAGGCCACTTCACTCACATTGCTCGAATGAACTGTCCAATTGTATGAAGGGGTACAAAGGTGTGTTCTGGGGAAAACCATCAACCCCCATCAATGAAAAATAAAAAAAAGTCAGTCAGTCCTAATACTTGTGAGCAGAGTGTGGCCCAGCAGCTGAAAGGCAGAGGGCGGAGTATCTGTCAGTGTATGAGTTGTATTTTCTTTAAAGTTCTTGTGAGATACACTAATATAGCAAAGGTTGGATACTAAAACTATAGTTAGGACAATAAATAAAAAACAAGTGATTTTTTTATGTTTTATTTTTGTATAAAATTCTGTGAGATATAACGTTGCATATATTCATAGATATATATTTATAGTCATTTTAACAACAAATGTGTTCTACTGACTGGTACATTAAAATGTCCCCCCTTCCTCCCCACCCTTTTTGTCTAGAATGTAAAAACGTAAAGGTACCAGAACTAGTTACTCAGACGTCTGCAAAAAAGCAGAAACGAACATGATCACATACAGTACAGTAAAAACACTTACTGAATGAAGGCGTGGGGTGGAAGGGCTTATCTCTTCCACAGATGGGAGAGGGAGGAGGGGTTGTGGCTAACTTAATGTACCATATTAATCCACAAGAAAGGGACAAACTGACATTTTTTCATTGTTAAATACATACATCTCGGGGTTTTTTCATAAGTACACCAAAGCAGATTGCTTGTACCTCTTATGTTTCAAAATAACCTTCCCTTCCAAAAAATGAAAACAAAGTTCTTGGCACTAGCACACAAACACTGTTTGCTTTTTTTAAACAAAAACTGCTACTTTGCATTCAAAGCTATTAGGAGAATAGGAATTTTATGCAGTTTTTTTTATTAATTTATCATTTGATTACCTTATTTTTGTTAAAGGAGTGCTTTGAAAAGCAGTTGGCTCTACCTCTTGCTTGTCTCAAGTGGACTACACACAACACCGGCATTTTTTTCATCTTTCCTCTGGTTCATTCATAGCTACATGTCTGGCATGAGCTTGTCAACTGCTTTTTGCTTGTGGAAATCATCTGGTGAAATTTCAAAATGCATGAAACACCAAAAAAATCATTTTTTCAGAAGGATTTCAAATGACTTTTGTTATGTTGTGCCTGTGGAAAGGCTACAGTTCAAGATGCTGACTTGAGGCAGTCCTAGAAATGGTCAATAAGCTTGTTTCCATCTCTCATTGAAAACAAAGATGAATCATCCAGAATAACTGATCAATCCTTATGCAGCAAGAATCCTTGAACCTGTAGAATGAGATGGCTTGTCTTAACAAAACTGATTTCCCAGCGTGTTCTGTTGATACCGTGTCTGCCTGATCCTACGAAGCAGCTCACAACAAAGAATGCAGCTGGGAAAATCAGACAAGAGGACAGAGTCAAGCAGAAAAATGGACTCTAAAAAAACAGCCAGTTTCGCCATAACACAAATGCGTGAATTTTACATAGGAAATATGGTCATTTCAAAGTGTGGTTAAGAGTTTGAGAGTTACTGATACAAAAAGATATTGTATCTTAAGTTCAAATTGTATTCAATTTTTGAAATAGATAAGTTGGCTTGTTCCTTACAAGACCTCCTTGTAAGAACGGACTGCTCTCAATAATAAATACAAAATGTGAAAGCAGGTAATTTTTCACCAGATTCCTTTGTCTAACACTGGAGGGTTGTCTGCACCAGATGGAGTTTCTCAGAGTAAAAAGTAATGTATCCAATATTCAGACGAAAGCACAAAATAAGTTGCGAGGGGTTCCTTAGTGATGGCACAAGATCAGTTTGTACAAGATGATCAGCAGCTCCAATCAAGCTCAGGAAGGGGGACACTGATGTTGCTAATATAGTGGTACCGTTATTTACACCTTAATTATTAAGCATTCCTTTATGATAAAATATACTAACTGCGCTCGGATATCTTAGGAATCTATGCAGTAAAGTTAAATATTCAACCAAAAAAACAGTTTAGACTCATATCCTATGGTAAAGCATATCCTGTGTCAACAGTAATAGTAAACAGTTTTTAAAAAAAGGGTTGTAAAATTTGCACGCAGATATTATAATATCTGTATATGTGTACATCACTTCTGAGATCATTTCTACCCTTAAACAGGACGCCATGTCCTGTTCGTAAAAAGCAAACTGCTCTGGCCATATATTTACATTGTACCGACGCGGCACCATTCAGTAGACATCTGAATGTAGCGTCAGATTCATTTAAGCACTCAAAGTTTAGCTGTACAGTGTACCCTTTTGGGGGAAATTGAGGAAAGGGGCAAGAACAGGTACCATTTAAGACAAAAAGTGTCCCGTTTTGATCTGGGCTCCATTGGTATCCCGCTACAATGTGCCAAAATTCCTGGCAGGCCGAGATCTGCTTAGAACAGCAGCCGAAAGACCTGTCATTCAGAATCAGTCAGAAGGGCCAGGGTGTTGGATACAGTTCTTTGTATGCTGTCTCCCTTCTGGCCTTGTCCAAAGTGACCATCATGAGTAACAAGTACCACTGTCCACTGTATTAGCCGTTCAGGCTCCAAGAAAGGAAAGATTGTGAGAGAGAAAGAGAAATTACTCTATAAACACAAAAATATCCCACAGGTTTAGGAATGTGTCAGGTGGTCACAAGAACAATCCTAGACCGTCGCACTCTGTCACTAGAAAGGTTATCTACAGTGCCCAGCAGAATACCTTAAAGATACAAAATGCAGTTGGACTTGCTGGTTCTGCCAGGGGCCTTTTTACAGCTCTTTACTGTTTTTTTTTTCTTTTTCTTTCTCCCTCTCGGAGGCTGCTGGGAGTCCATCATCGCTGAGTGCTGCCCTCCAGTGGCATGATAGCGTGGTGCAGGTTCCTCGCAGCAGGCCGGGACTCCACAGAGTCCTGGTCTTCGGTGAAGCTCTCCGGGCTGCCGTCCCCGTCCAGCAGGCTGCCGCAGCTGGAGTTGGGGGACAGCATGTCCTGCAGCAGGTCCTCCCGGACCAGCCCCGCCTCCCGGACCTCTCGCGTGCGTGACCCCGTCTCCTCCACGTCCTCCTGGTCGCTCAGGAGCTTGGCCAGGAAGTTGATGTACTTCATGGCCAGCCGCAGGATCTCGTTCTTGCTGAGCTTCTTGTCCGGGGGGTGCGTGGGGATGAGCTTGCGCAGCTCGGCGAAGGCCCCGTTCACGTTCTGCTGCCGCCAGCGCTCTCGGCTGTTGGTGAAAATCCGCCGGACGATTTTGGGCTGCGGGCCTGTAACAGCGGAATAACCAAAACAACAGATGAGCGAGCTGTTCATCCTTCCTGTCTTCTGTTCCTCTGCGAGCAGCCATTTCTATCTCTCTAAGATGCTATTCTGCATCTGAGGTCACAAGGAAGCTAAGGAAATGGCTCCAGTTCCCTATTGAACGCTATGGCCAACTCTACCGCGACTCTATGCTTATGAAATCTGGTAATGGTCGGTACTGACTCTAAGGTTAAATACTAATTCCAATGGAGTTTTACTTATCTCAGCTTGGGTGAACTTTATCAGTAAACATTAAGCCTAGTAGACTTTGGTTTGATTTTAAGTTTTTAGGTGTGCGATTAAGTTGATTTCCATCTGGTGTACAAGGTTCACACGGATGGAAGAAAGCAACAACACAACTAGACATAGATAGTCATGGATGTTCATCTAAGAGAGGCTTCATATCTTTCGGGTCTAAGGGAAGCCTCCCTTTTTCCTTTGTCTATATGCCTGAAGCTCTACTAACGCATAAATGTTACATTAGAGCACAAGTGATGCACAGCAGACATTCTGCATCAGCAGCCCCAGTACACAGCTGCAAAAGGCAGGAATATTAAGGAGCTACTGCATGCAGTATACTATATGCATGTGGTTACGAGCAGCAGATTTGCTCCAAAACCCCACTAGTGATTTCTACTATTTTACTACTATTAATACAGTTTAGTTTGAGGTAGTAGAAACTAAGCTTGTCATTCAACATTTGCATTGATCTTCCAAAGCTTGTGATCAGAACTCAAGGTAAACTATACATTATCATCCCATATGTTGTGTCCTTGACAAGAATTGTTGTTTACTAATCTATTGCATTTATTAATCAAATACAATTAGTTTATCATTGTGCGTTCCTCTTCTTTATTTTTTTTGGTAAAAAATCAATCAGGATTAACTGTAAGCTTAAAACAAAAAGGCTCACATTTCATCTGGAATTCACCATAAAACTATGAATTATGAAAGCATTTCTGTGTACAGACGGGAAAGCACTATGTGAAACGGTGCACGTCCTTTAATTATCAAGTTGTGGTATCCGAAGCAGAATCATCAAGTACAGAGAAACATCTTCAGTAATTGACAAACCCAGGACTGGAAGACCGAAAGAGCTGCCTCACAAGCATGAGCAATACTGGAAGATAATATCTTAAAGCACACAATCATTCAACTGACACCAGAAGGCCCAGGCGCTGTCATCAACTCATCGATAGCCAAAAAGTCAATGTCATTGTCAAAATAGAGGTCGTTTTTTTAAATCAGGACATAGCTATGTGGTGCAATAAAAAAAAACCTCTTTTAAGAAAGGAGAACACTAAAAGTCTAAAATATTCACAAGAACACAAGCAAGGAAGTATGCAAGAATGGTGCAAGGTGCTTTGGACAGATGAGGCACAGTTCCTGTTATTTGGATGTTATCAAAGTCAGTATGTGAGATGAGGTGAGATGGCAGAGAATGGAAACATATAAAGAGCTTTGCCTGAAGCCAGCAATCAAGCATGCAGGGGGAGCAGTTTGCGTATGGGGTTGCATACCCATCCTGCAGTGGTGTTGATATATCATTTCATGCTAAAAATCCTACTGGCTCCAACTTCACCTTTCAGGAAGATCATTATCCGATTCATTCAATTTATCCAATACAGGGTTGCGGGGGTACCATGGAACCTATCCAGGCAAGCAACGGGCACAAGGTAGGGTACACCCTGGTTGGGACGCTGGTACATCACATTGCACACCAGGGCCAATTTTCCCAGAAGCCAGTGAACCTACCAGCATGGCTTTTGACTGTAGGAGGAAATCGTAGACCCAGAGAAAACCCACACGAACTCCACACAGACAGCGCACCAGGTCTGGGATTGAGCCCAAGGCACCGGCGCTGTGAGGCAGCAATGCTAAACACTGCACCACTGTGAGCTTATTCTGGGTACAAATGTCATAATACTTTATTTCCACAGATGTATATCTAGTTTTAGTTTCCTACTTTACAGTAAAACTGCAAACTGAAGAGCAGGTAGCATGTGCACAGCGGCACCTATAATTGTAGAAACGTACCGTTCCCTAGATACATCATTCAATTCAAACATACTTCTCATGTCTGGCAATGCAGTTAACTTGTACAAGAACCTGAATATTTCCACACAAATCCAGTTCATAACCATGTAGGTGCTTGCGATTTCTGTTTCTAATTGATGTTATGCAAAGCCCCTGTTAAGAAAGAGAACTGTGTTTATTTTCCATAAATACACATGCAGCTCTACCTTCTACCTAATCCTCGCTCTCTCGCAGTAGTGGCAGGCACAGCACAGAGCATTTGCATTTTTATGGGCAGCTACCAGCTATCTGTGCCAGTTGCTGTCTACTTGCAGTTTCTGCACAGTCGCCTCTGCCCCCTCCCTTAGCCCAACGTCTAAATCTTTCATTGTAGTAAGAGCACTGCAGGGGTTTTAATAGGGAGGTAGAAAAAAACAGGTACCATGCTGTTATTCTAATACTGAAGATGAGTCCTCAGATTTTTGTTTTTAAGAACCACGTCTCTTCTTTTTTTTAGATACACTTGTGTACAACAGTGACAGCCATTTCACAAAAACAGGTTTCTGAAGTGCCTTCTCAACATATGGTGAACATAAAGTAATATCTAACTGCACTGCCTATTTTGGCAACTCTGAAGCCTAAGACCACTTGTATGGTCTGGTACTCGATAGCTCAAAAGCTAAAAATGTCAGAGGCTAGTTCTGTACCTGTAGTCTGTAGTACTCTGTACAGAGATACAGTGTGTCTCATTGACCTTGAACCATGTCAAAATTATGACACAAAGATATACTGAAAGTTTTCTATTCTTTGGGTTTTAGAAACATGTATTTAAAAAAAGCTTTATAAACATCTGTTCCTGTTCAGCTTGGCTGTTTTAAGACTGCAATACCATGGTAGAGGAAAATGCATCTGCTAGTACTTTAGAGACTTTAAAATGGATTGCTGCCGTCTGCAGTAGAATAACACACCTTTAGCAAAAGCAAAAGAGAGTGGTAATATGGTCAGTGAACCATTCTGGTTCTATTAATAAGACTGAAAGTACAAAGATTGCAAAACATTTAACCTAAGGAACAGTGCACTAAAATACAGAGGATAATTGTGCTCATCGGTTTCAAGTAATCGGTGCAATGTCTGAGCTGTTTTCTCTCAAACGAAAATATCTTGTTTGATGTGCATTACTAGGGAAATGGTGTAGTGAAGCTGTGCCTAAGGGACTAACTATTCATTTAGACACAGAGAAGCATGGTTACAAATGTGTCTTCTTCAAAAATCGACAGTGCAGCCTTCTTATTTTATGCTGTAAAGTTCACAAGAGGTAAATTTCCTTGGCATAACTGTATCATTCAGGTGGCAACTAGTATAGCTGTATTAAACTGGAATCTGAAACCAGTTTAGGTGCTCCAAACACAAATTATTGCAGAAAGCATTTCAGCATTTGGACTGAAATAAGGGAAATACAGGTGCTTAAAATATTGTATCCATTAAGCTCAGTCTAATTAAAGTTAATTTAATTACAAAATAAATATAAAGGAACAACATGGAAGTTTCTTTTAATCAATTAATAGCTTATCCATTAAATTCAAATCTGCTCTGTCAGTCTATATAGTACGAAGCCTTTTAATCATGATCGGATAGGTGGATCAATGAATCTAAATTAATGAGCGAGTAATAATAAATTGAAGAATAGATGGATAGGTGTCAGCACTAATAAGACGCAGAAAAGTGCATCTTACCATATTTATAAAGATCTAAAAAGCGCCTACCATCGCTCATTTCCACTTCATAGGGCGCCGGTCTGCGTTTCACCCGGTTGTTGGGGAACATGCCGTATTGATCAGGCTCCCCACCAAAAGCGCTATGAGGGACACGAGCAAGAAAGAGGAGTAGTTAAATTAACACATAACACGTATTGATAAAACACAACACAACGAATGTTTTCTAAGCCTTTCATATAAAAGTCACAAAATCTAGACCTTCAGGATGTAAACTCTTTCGTGAATATTATAATCGGGTTTATTATTATTATTATTATTATTATTATTATTATTAT